TTTTTTTTTTTTTTGAGATTCGTGCAGTAACTGAGCAAACAATAAACAATTAAAAAGAGAGCCTTCACTAATTTTGACAAATAAAAATGTGGCAGAGCTCTAAAAAACTTCCATTTACTTCAGACATGAAGTAGATTACTTTAGTGAACTCCTGTCAACAATTCCACAAGTTAGAACTCAAGCAGCTTTGTGCTCCTCATTCCTTCGTTTCGCTCCGGCGCAGAAATTTGAGCTCATAATGCTTCACTTATCAGAAGATGGCAGAATGCGCACCTCGACTAAGTTCAAGAACTATATCTCATTTCGCCCTTTTTAAGGCAAGAGTTCTCTCATTTCAGCCTTACTGTAGGGTACTCGACGATTTCAGAAGACTCGGAAGAGCTTTTGGTAGACGAAGCATTGTTAGCTTAGCTTAATATGTACGCAGTAGGTTAATGACTTACCTAAACTGTTTAGAAAACCACTTCTGATACCAATACGCCTATGTAATATTAAGTGATACCGTAACTTGAACAGAACTCCACCCCCAACTTCTTCCAATTTAGTGACTTAGCCATCCATATTCTGTTGTCACAGTAAATTTTTCTCTATGTCTGCAGTAAAAAACTATATCTTCCCTGTCAGAACGGCTTAAAAAAAATTAAGATTTCGACTGAAAGCACGATACACGACGTGTAAAATCAGTAAATATATACAGCTCTCAAAGTATCACTTTTAAAAATTTATTAAAACTCCATAGCAAATAATTCAAAAACTAAGTTATTACAAAATTTACGTTTCACTGGGAACAGAACGAACAAGAAAACAACTACAAACGTCGGTTCCAATAGTTAGTTTTTCTAGAAAGAAACAAGGCAAAACGAAAAAGAAAAATTCACGGAAATTAAAAAAATTTGACAGAAAAAAACGAAAGAATTTGCAATGTGCTTTTTTCCCATCTACAGCACTTCTAGTATATCAGGATCAACATCCATAACAGGTATTTTGAAAAAAGAATGATAAATCAATTCTTAAATGCCAGTAACTTCTTCCGTACAGTAAAAATTATCTCATCTTCCCCGACAATATTAATAATGAAGACCTTTACAGAAGTTTAATTTCTACTCCCTATGTTTTTATTTTACCATTTCCTCAGTACCTAAATTAAACTATTAACTTTGCGTTTTTCCGTCTTTCCTTATTCCCCATCCCTTTTGCCCTCATCTCTAAGTGAGAAACGCTTAACTTCTTCACGATAGCAGAATAATAAGTGTGCAAATACACGACCAGTATTGACAACCACTGTTAAAAATCAGAGAAAAGAAGTAACCTAAAACTGGCCTCTGCGTAATAATGAAGGTATATGTAATTCAAAAACAAAAAAAAAAGAAGAAAAAAGAGACAAAAGTTTCAACTACATACAGTTAAGTGAAAAAAAGTGAATCTGCCGATGTTATTTAACTAGCAAAAAGTTGTAGATCTCAAAAGCACCACCGTTCTGAAATAACGACACAACAAGTGTGATTTCCGCACTAAATGTGGAGCACCAACGCTATGTCATTCATGAATGTTGATTTTACAGCGTTGCTAGTTTTATCCTTGATGGCCATACCAGTGATAGTACAGTAGACCTCCAAACCTTCATTTCTTCAGACTGTTAAAGAAAGTATATACACATGGATTAAAAAATAATCATAATACTGCCTTTAATACCTTTGCAATGGTGTTTGAAAAAGTGCCAGGTTTCTAAAAATAGACTCGCTTCAAGAAATTGAAAAAGAAATCTTAACATAAAATCAGAACTGTACAGATGAAACTAAAAGCGAACTTGAGTACTATTACTCCTTCTTAAAACCCTGCTGGGGAGCTTTCAGTACCCTTGCGATAATCACTGTTTGCGTATAAGTTATCTTCACCTTTCCTTTCCACACTAGTGACAACTGATAAATTACTTCGCAGAACCATTGTATGACCTCTCTTTTCCAACCCAATACGATATTTCTAAAAAGCGTAATTTTCAAATCAAATATAGATCCACGTCATCAAAATTTACCTGAAGTAGCCCTTCTTCGTAGTAGGTTACGTTAGGTGTCAGTTGGTTAAGAATGCGAGGTGCATCAACAGCCCTCTTGACATCCTCATTCAGCCAAAGAACGCGCATGGCAACACCAGCAACTCCGGAGATTATCCGCGAACCTCCAGCTGCTCCAATCACGAAAACTTCCTCAAATTAATACAAACTAGTGATACACATTGAAAAATCGACGCTGTTTATAATAATAAAAAAAAATCTAGACATTTACTTCTGGGTCTTTCTCACTGTAAATTATGAGCGGACTAGCGCTACTCATTGGGCGTTTTTTTGGTTTGATAAAATTGGCTTTTGATGGTAACAAGCCAAAGTAATTAGGCCGCCCCGGAGAACTAAAATCGTCCATTTCATCGTTCCAGATTATGCCAGTAGATGGAGAAGCAACGCCGGAACCGAATCTGAAGAACATCAGATTTTGAAAAAGATCAGAAAATTTGATCGAACATGGTGAAAGAGCAATCAATGTAGACAAGCTTTCAGCATGAAAAAAATTGAAGCAGTACTCCCTTTTCCCATAGCAGATATATTTCAAAAAACAGTTAGAACAGCTCAACAGCAAAACTACTGTTACCTGTGCACACGAAAAAATCTGCGCCAAAAGCTATCCCTAAAAATTTTAAATCAAATTGTCCAAATTCCTAATTTAATAACTTTCAAAGGCTGAGAAATTAGTCAAAAAACAAGTTTACATTAGATTGATAGTAGAAGTTACGGAAACTGCATTTCCTTGGGAATCTAACACCGAGATATGTGTTGTACCATGATCCTCAACAGGTTCAAAGTCCCCGCCATAGTAAGAAGATGGATGAGCCTTATCAGTGATTAACCTCCTGAAACTTACATACACTAAATGCTTCGAAAAATAAGGAAAAAGTATCAGAAATTGGTGACCAAACATTACAAAAAATGTCAGAGAGAGACCTAATTTTTGCTGCGTATTCTGCTGATATTATCTGCTTTGCAATTTTCAACGCAGTGGCGTTGAAGGTGAGGTCGCCAAGATCACTTCTTGCAGCATAAGCAAATTTGGATGCTTCAATAAAACGATGAAGGACGAGTTCAGGATCAGTTTTCGCCATGTCCTCTTCTTTATTAAACCTATTAAAAACTCAGAATGGTAAATTCATTTCGATTTTTTAATTGTCAGAACTCTATTTTAAATGTCAAAAAAAAAATCTTTTGTTAGAAATGCATTGGCTAAAACGACGACTAATCCCTAACCGACGTTTTTTAAGCAGCTTAAGTAGGACGTATATTACACTAATCAGTGCGTAAAACTTGCATTACTAGTCAGAATCTCTTATTTGGCAGGTAAACGAAAACACTAACAGATCTTAGTCAATCTACATCCCACAATCTCAGAAATCCACCACGTCATCAACTCAGTGCCTGACAAATTAGAAGTTTTCTCTATAACTTGTTAAAACAAGTAATGACTACCTTGAAAAAAAAAACACAAAGCATGTGAATTTTAAGTAAAACTTAAAACACCACAGAGATACTAGAAAATGATTATTGTTGTTTTTTACTCTATATCTAAGATAAAAAAGTTCATCAAGCATTTGCGAAGTAGCAGTTGAGCCTAACTGGAAAACTAACACAAATTTTTAATAAAAATAAAAAGTAAAGAAAACACTGTTATTCACTACCACGAAAAACACCAGACACACAAAACGAAGGAATCCATTCCTATTCAAAAGCAACAGTCTTGAAAACTTTCAAGCATCTTTTGCACTAAATGAATTCTCCTGGCCATGACTTTCTTCCTTCACTGATTGTAAAAAACAGTTCAAAAAAAAACAGGCTTATAGCAGAAGAAATTTTCCATACAAGTCCAAAAGTCTAATATGCTGTGCAAAACTCAATAATTATTGTTCCAAAAACACATCTTGCAAATCAATTCAAATGACTGCAATAGAAACTATGATGAAAGTTGCTCACATGTTGTAGTTTTCATTATTTGCTAAATTATTTTTCAATTGATTGTGTATGAAAAAAGAAGTAAATCATAGACACCACTTCAATATTAAGACTGCAGTCAAAAAACTAACAAATTAAGAAGAGTGCCAAAAATTTTACACAAAGACCATACTCGTCAAGGATTTTTAAAATCGCTTGGGCCACTGCAGAACCAGAAGGAGGTGGAGGTCCACAAATTCGATAACCGTTTTCAAAAGTTGCACTAATCAAATAATCACCTTCATATAACTTTGATTCATACAAGGCAAAGTCCTCAAGTGTTAAAATACCACCTAAAGAATAATCTTCTGAACAACACATTTACCTTGGTAAACCATATCGATATTTTTGAAAAAACTCTCCTTCACCGCGGTCATTCTAAAAATACAATTTAAATGGCCATTTTTAAAAGCACTGATGCTATACCCTCCATCACTATAATACTCTTTGGTGCTAAAGAATCTCCAGTTTCGTTTCACCCTAGCCAGTTCTTCTCCCCGCCTAAAAGCCCTGAAACTCCTGAGCTTTTGTACAATGGCAACCCCACATACGCATGTGAAGATGAGTTCTCCGAAAAAGCCTTCCACACAAGCCACGATGACAGCGAAGTCGCCGCCGCCGCAGTTTGCTACGGTCGACATATATCGAGTCTCAAATGGGAGCTCTGGAACCCCTCTAATGTACTAATATGCTTTAAAGTCGTGATGCGGATTTATGAGTAGCAGAGAAAAATTAAGACGAGTTCAACTCTTAGCGGAATACAATTGCAGAAAAGCCAGTGAGATTTATAGAAGTTACAAATAGCTGTACATACCGACATCATATCACAGCTAGAGAAAATATTTTAGTACCAAACTTTGGAGGAGGTTACACAGCAACAGTTACGTTCCGAAAGTAGTGCGATGACACGAAGAAAATAGCATTTGTTTGGCACTTACTAGGAACTTGCATCAATTGGTGGAGGAAGAAGCAGAGATTTCCAAGGAAGAGAGTTTTTTAAATTCAGTCTGGTCATTTTTTTTTTCAGCTCATAAAATCAGCAAACAGTAATCGTAAAAAGCGCACTTCTGTTTCATTACAACCAACAGAAATGATAATACCATCAAATACAACAAAGTCGTCGGAAGTTGATGGTTTAAGTGTGCTTGAGCTAACAGTTATCTGCAACGGATACAGCTGTGTTTTTATGAACAAGTTATTTGTCCTATTTTCCCAAAATTAGAGAGAAGCCTCACTTAAAGAGCTTTTTAAAAGTTAAATTGCTTTGTGGTGAATCAGATGTCCACGTAGAAAACTCACAATTTCTTCAATAATAGCGACTTATATGATACTGCTCCCCTATTTGAGACCAAAGATGGTGTAATGGGTTGTCCTAGCACAAATTTTTCTAAACTACACAATAGAAGCTGCTGTGAAACCATCCTACTTTCAAAGCATCTGCCTAAAACGCCAACAGATTGCTATAACCTGCTGAAGCTCCCTTCATTCTTCCTCATTTTCAAGCCGTTTATAATGTCATCACCTTCTAAATCGACGCAGACCCTTTTAAATAAGTCCCAAGTACTTACTAAAAGAGATACTTCTCTGCACCGTAAACTGCTTCTAGAGAAGTGTGAAGTAAAATCTAAATTTAAAAAAATAACAGATGAAATATATTGTAAAATGTTTGGAACAAAATAAAACTAGCCGTTTTTTTCAAACTCGACCACTATCTCCTTCGTTAGTGAGCTGTTATAGAAAAGTTTTATGGGGTCTTCTGCAGATGCCAATTTTTTCAGGAAATTTGCGAATTTTCCTCTAGAGAGACTGTCTTGTTAAGAAATGTGTTTATAAAATCTTTACGCCGTATATAAGCAAAGTTGCTGGTAATAAAATCCAAATTAAAAACTTTCACGCACCTAGTCACAATCTGCTCTCCTGCTTCGTAAACTTTTTTTTTCTTTGGATTAATAAACATTTCCATTGTTGGTTCCGCCAAAATACGTTTCTCTTCATCTTTCAGAGCCTTCGCCAAAGCGTGAGAAGTTGGATGACCTAAAAAATTTTTGTTTTTAACTTATTTCATAAAAATAATTGTTTTGAAAAACAAAAAAACTTTATGTTCTCCTGCTAAAAAAAAAGTTATAAAATTAATAACTGAAAAACCTAACCCATCTCAACAAAAGGGAGCAGTTATAAATCCCGCCATTAAAAGAACATTGCTGATATACAAAGCTTACCTTCCATAAGAAGTTGAATTGTAGGCTGCAAAAGTTTATCCCACCCGATGCCACCTCCAAAGTTCCGGTAAGCAGTCCAAATGCCGTGTAGTTCTCCCGGAACAGCAACAGAAAGCCATCCTGAAAAGCAAACGATGCGAATTCGCATATTTCAGTGTAGGAAAGTCATTACAAACTACAACGGTCTCCACTTCAAAAAAGCCATTAATTAACATCAGAATAACCTTTTTCAGACATATTCCATCTCCCAACGTACATCTTTTCGGATGCTTTTGAAGGCGCAGTTTCTCGAGCATCTATGATACTGCATTTCCTTGTGGTGCTACAAATGTGAAAACTTCACATATATAATGAGCAAAGACAAATAAGCTATCTCAAGAGAAGAGATGAAAGATAATTAACTGGTTATATACTGTCATAAAATGGCCGCCACCAATTCCTGCTGAATGAGCATCCATAACTCCGATGCAGAATAACGCGCCAATCGCTGCATCTACAGCGTTACCTCCTTTCAGCAAAATATCTCTTAAATAATCGACATTTCTGCAGTTACATGAGTGCTATCTTAAACCATCTGTTTTCAATTTTAAAGTGTCAGAAGAGCGTTACGTTTCATATACCTCCCAGCAGAAAAGAAATTTGAAAAAACAACCAGAAATAAACTACCTTCCTATTTCCGAACAAAAAACATTGTCCGCTGCTACTGCTGCTTTAGTATATTTCCCTAACAAACTGAGTGACGAGTGATGAGAATCTCTTTCCGTCACATGCTGAAAAGTAATTGTACAAGTCAGAATAAAAGCCATTAATATCAGCAAAAAATCATCAGTAGCAAAACAGCCCTTCAATTACATTTCAAAAGAAAAAAAAATGAAAAATTGAACTCTAAGAAGGCGCCTCTGAAAGAATTTTGGTTTGACACAGTTACTTCAAAAAAGCGACTTGCGCAAGAAGAAAACTTAATCAGAAAGAAAGTACAGAGAACAAAATGAATTTGACAATATTCCGATGTTCAAATCCCATTTTCTTAATGACCGGCTATGCTGATGGCATTAGTCTAACTTCATGGCTGCAACTAACAAGATTTGTATAGTTCCCCGATTAACGTACGATGATCGTCACACTTAAGTTCTGTTGTACCTACTTCAACACGGTTCCTCAATGGAACACTTTCGCAACAATCATCAAACAGTCGGCCAAATTCCTCAAGGATTTAAACCACGTTCAGAGAAGGCTGACGGTTTTAAGATTTGTTGTTCTATATTTGCTCATTTTTACAGTGGTGGTTTTTCACTTTGAGAAAGGAGACGTTTCTTGCTGTGCTCTTCAGTGAGATTACTGCATATATTTAAGCGCTGCTCCCTCTGTTCAATCCCCCATGAACAACTTCTTAAAAGTAGTACGACTTTTTGTGAGATCTTTTATATCCTTCCAGACTAACTTCTGACAAAGCTTCTTTAGTGGCCGCTTCCATACCACTAGTGACCCACCTAAATTTGTACCAGTAGCCAGTTCTCGTTCCACTGTTTGTAATCTCAGAAACAAAGCTTCAAAATCAAGAATCAACTTCGAGCCGCCACTTTTTAAAGCATTTTTAGGCTCCTGGTGTTGCTATTCCAAGTGTATAACAGTGAAAAATGGCCAGGCACATGTTATGATTCTCTCGTATTAGCTTTTTCTACGGATTAATTCGACGTATGTTATTTAAAAACCTGTCACTGCTATTTTCAAATCATTTCCTGAAGTAATATTATTCTAAACCGCAGGTAGCTCCGCCCAAACCTAATGTAGCAAAGCCAGGCATAGACTGGAAGCAATGCAAACATTGATATACATATTATGAGTAGAATTTCCAATAGTTTTAAAAAACATTTTAGTAGGGTTAAAACAGATTAGGAAAGTAAGTGTGGAGAAACCATAAAACGACAAAGCGCATTTCTGCTAAAAAACCTGTTCGCGGTAGTAGGCAGCTGCGAAAATAACTGTAGTTATGAAGAAACAGAATGTCAGAAACCAGTGAAGCAATGTTAACAAACGAAATCTGAAATGAATCTGGCACCATCAATTGCTCAAGCGGCATAAAAGGTTATTAAAAAGCTTCTAACCGACCTCGGATGCTGTTCTGGTTTCTTCTCGGCAAAAATTAAAGGTTCATTCTCCTCGCCCGAATCCATTTTAACCTGTTTAGAAATCCGCTTCCGAATTTTAATTTGTCAAGATGTTTTAGAAATGAAACTAAAATCGATCTTATCAGGTAATTCCTTTAAATGTAAAACAAGAAGTTTCCCCAACAAACAACAAAAAGATAAACCTTTTTCTTCTTAATATTTTCTACAGCAGCTTAAGTTGATTCCAAACGAAGTCCGATAACTTGTAAGATAGAGAGATGTACACTGCTAAACTCTGCAAACATAACATTTTATTATTAGACGGAGCGCCAAGTTAAACTCTGTGCCCAATTAATAATGAATAATTTTCATAAGCGGTTTAACCTGACTTTCAAAATAAGTTATAACCAATTTGAATTTAATAGTTTGAATGAAAATAATAACCATCATAATCAGCACATCTTTCTTTTTCTGCCAAAACGATATCAGAACATTATTCAGTGGCGTAAAAATGGGCATGATTAGAACCTAAAAAACTGAGAGAAATCTGTTCTTTGTGATATCTGATTTTGAAAGTTGCTTGCAGAAATTGTCCAAATCATAAAAATTCTGCAAAAGCAAAAGAAAATGAGGATCATTGGGGAAGAGCAAAAACTGGCCTAGTGCATAATATCATTTGCAAAAAAAGATATAAGTTCACACAGCAGGATATTATGAATTCAAGGAAATCAATAAAGTTTAACTGCCGGAGGCCACCTTTTTAAACGATACATGTCGTACACAACGCTGTGATCATGATGGTTTAGAGTGTTCCTTGAAAACCTCTTTCAAAAAATAATTCTCCACTAAGAAATCTTTTTTGAAGAATTTTTCAAGAAAGTGTTTTTTAATGTTTTATACGATACTGATCAGAGGCACAGTTCACAATAGTTACTTTACTCTTCAGCTGTATATTTGGAACCTAAACAATTTCAAAAAATTTAAAAATCTTTATCACTTCTTAAGACTGTCGCTGAAACTTGTTACACACGAAAGAGATACAACTGCTTTTTTTGTTTTCTTAAAGGACAAATTCTCAATGAACTAAAAAAGTACAAAGAATAAGAACTACAAAATATGAGCGACCTTTTAAAATAAAAACAATGATCACCTTAAACTTCAAATAATCAGATCACTTTATGGAGGTTTCCTTCGAAGTCTCACTATGAAAACTACCAAATGAAATCCCATTTTAAAGCCAGACAATCGCTCCCAGCTCGAAATGCTACTCAGTTACTCTGCCTTCAACAGAAGGAAAAAAGTGCAGACCTTAATCACGCTAGCAAATCACAGAACTGTTTTAGTGGCCTGAATTTAACTGCATAGCCAAGTCCAGTTCAACTCTAATTCATCACTTTTGCTCGGCTTATGAGTACTCTAAGACCACCATAAAATATGCCTTACCGAGCCACATTGATTACCCCGATAAATTTGTTCAAATACGTTTTAGTAAATTACATTTACTTTCTTGACAAACATATACAAGTCCTAAAATACATCTAAGCACAGCTGACTTTGCAAACTACTACCAATGCCAATGCAAGTACCCGCCACCTCCACCGTGATAAAAGTTACCTTGATGATGTCCAATCACAGGCATTTTTAAGCAGTCAGAACCGACTATATTTACTCGAACAGTATTCAGATTATCCAAAACTCAAACCATCTACCATCCAGCAGAAAATTTTCTTGCAGATCTTTTAATTTACAAGACAAACGTTGCAAAATACCAAGAGTGATTATTGCTGGTTCCCTAATAGCATTAAAATAAAATGAAAAAACTTGACAAACAAACTCTTAAAAAGCTTAATAATTTCCTAAACAAGAAATCACAGCTAAAAATAGTTTAAACTGGAGAACTTCACTGTAATTCAATTCAGACGACAATATTTATTTTATAGACGAACATACTATACCGGCAGAAAAAAAAATTTCGAATCAATAATTTGAGTACAACGAATGTAAACAACGATATTTGAAGCATCATTACAAAATACTTTCTGCATGACGGATATTCGAAACCCAGCAATGTATTTAACTAAACATTCCAGCAAAATCTAGGGGCTTCTAGTGTCACTTATTCTATCAGAGCGAACAACAACAAAAGACCAACAATTGCAGCATCACAACGGTATGCGGTTCCAATGTCCCAAACCTGCTCTCTACCACAGCAAAAAACATTATTAACATATCGAGAAGCAGTGGGTCAGAACAAGATTGCCAGCAAAACAAAACAAATCAATTTGCAGCAGTCCACAAAGAACCTAAAAATTCAAATCACATCTTCAGAAGAAACTAAAGTACTAACATTACAACTAGTGAAAGAAAAATTTTAAAACAATTCTTTCAAAGCAGTTGTGTCGCCCAACAACTACAATTTTTGCTTGAGCATTTCAAGAATTTATGCATTTCTATTTCCATAAGTATCGTTTTGCGATAACTGGCAGACGACACAACCCCAATACCAACCAACGAGATACCTGCAGAACAATTTTTATCCTAAGAACAGGTTAGCACCATGTTCCACTACATCCAAGGCGAAGCTTTCAAATTTAATATAGAAAACCTAACCAACACTTAAACAGCTACCAAGCAATATTGAAAAGTAATGCTTAACAACAAACAAGTTACAGAACTATTAATAACGACAAATACTGCCAAACAAAAAACGACATTCAGAAAACGAACAATACAAAAAATTTGCTTACAATGCACTTTTTTAACCACTATGCATATTTCCTTCAATATTAACTTCATAAATTTTTGTATGACATTCGAACCAAAACCAAGAATATTGGCGACGTGGTTCATGACCTAATGTTCATTTAAAATAAGTGGCATATAATTAGGACGAATTACCAGTAAGCTGTTTCTGGGGGCATATCGGTAGCAACTGCAACGTCTTATATGCAACAGTCAAAAGCTACCGTATAACAAAAACAAAGTGACTCAAAAAAAATTGTTTCTTTAAAAATTACATAATTAACAGAAAGAAAAAAAAAACAAAAAGAACTCGGCTTACAATATAACATAAGCAAAAACGTTTCGCAAATCATTACAATGAATAATCTGTTATGCCTATACTAATACAAAGGGTATTAAACTTATTAAAAACCCCTCGTGAAAACTAAATTTTTATTGGGCTAATTAGAAAGTAATGTCATCGGTAAAAAGTAGGTAAAAAACAAGCTAAAACAATGAATTATTTTTTGTATCAACCGAATACCTGCAGCATTAATAATAACAACTTCAGCAAAACTCAAAAAATAAGGTTAATAAACTACTGGACTTCCTATACATAAATAGAAGACCTCTAAATTGTGAGGACAATGATGCAGTTTGAACTCTGTAACGTCAGAAATTTCATTAATCTAAAAATGACTTCATTTGTTGCCTTTTTTACCGCACTCTCCATTCTTCTCTGGTTCCTGGTTTTTCTGTTTGTTCCAAGATTCCAACCCCTTCGGCAAAGAAGTGTCCTCATCTAAGCCACCTGTGCCCTCAACGAACTGCTCATAAGTGCTTTTTTCTGCGAAGGGGCGTGGCCCTACCAATTCCTCCATGTCTTCCCTAGATAACACCTCTTTGTCAAGTAGCCTTTGTGCTACCTAAAATCAGTCGTTTAGTGGGAAGCAAGCGCCATTGACTTAATATTATGAAGGAAAACAAAGTCCATAAAAAAGGCCAGTGAAGGGTAATAAAATATGGTGCAAGCAGAGACTTAAAATTATCTAAATTTTAAGAATAATAAAACGATATAAGGCATTTATCAAGTACTCAAAATAATTTTAATTTAGTCCAAAGAGAAAAACAAAATAAATTTGCAATTAAAAAACTGTTCAAAAGCATTATACTTTTTCAATTTGTGGTTGCTTTGATAATAGAAGCTCTCTCGTACGATTTAAAGCCTTGTTGACTAGATCCCGAACCTGAAGAAAAATACCAATTAATCACTAATATAACCCAAAAAGACAAACTAAAAAGGGGATAACAAACCTCCTGATCAATCAGTTGTGCAGTAGATTCAGAATAAGGTTTATCAAAAGCCATTTCACCCGGAGCAGGAGCTTGAAAGGATAGCGGCCCAACTTTGGCGCTCATTCCATACGTAACAATCTGAGAAACAATGTGATACAAAAATACACAATAACAGCTCACAAAATTGCTATTTCTAGAAAACTTGCAATTTTTTGCTTATTCAGTAGAATACGTGAAAACTGGATTTCTGTGGCAAGTTTATGTAAAGATAAAACATGAACAAAAAGCTTTATCTGTGAGACAACACGCAGATAAAGAAACTACAATACATTACATCCGCACAACGCCTAACCATCTATCATATTTTTCCTTTTATCTATCTCTCGTCGAAATAAGCCCACTGAAAATTTAGCTCATAAACAGATAAGTTATGATACAGTAACAAGTTCTTTCCTTGTCCTCCTACTTCTCTTCTTTTAAATTTTCTCAGTCTGTATTCATTTTGGTCCTCTTTGAAGACGAGAAAGGGGTTGCAAAAGCCAGTCTGTCATATGTTTCTGAACGTTGCTGGCGTGTTATAAAATGAGTAAAACAAAGAAATAAACTACGAGAAGTCTAAAGAGATAGAGTTGTGCAATTTCAAAGAAATTTTACTGCTAAAAATAGGAAAGCCGTATCTGTATAGAGGATCAAATACGCCGAAGAATAATTAGGTACACCCTACAAATTAGAATAAGGGTATTTTCTTCCTACATTGTAGTGCTTTCAGGACTGCGCTTAAAATATAAAGCTCTGCAGTCAGATTCTGTTAACATATAACAATGACCATAATTAATGTTTGAAAAAATAAATACAGAATTTGAAGTAAAAACAAAAAAGTGCGAAATTTGCGGTAAGCAATTTTACAGTTACTCATAACCTACATGCTCTAAAAGTTTGTAATCTTCCAATAAGCAAGAAAAAACTGCTGACAACCATGAATGTTGCGTCAACACGTCCTTCCAAAAAGTAAAAAGCATTCTTTTACACGACTGAATTAGACAAATAAAAAAAAATAAACCAAATCCTCACAAAGAAGTAACTGTCTCTTAATGTTCAAGCGATACAACGGAAAAGAACAAACCTTTCTCCCAGGAAATAAGCAAAAGCAAAAAAAAAAAAAAGAAACACGAAGGCCTTCAACAAAGTAAAAAAAAAACAAGCAGATGGACCAAAAAGACGAACTGTTTTTGAAAATTTTACGAGTCCCACGTATTCCAAATTAAAACCATTCAGCAAAAGCTGGTTTCCAACTATGGCACGACCAGTATAAACTCATAAGATCTAAAAGAATAAAGAAAGGAAAAAACATGACTAGCGTACAGCCCATACAACCTGCATCTGAAAAAGCAACTTTTTTTTGACTGTTTCATAATATTCAAAAAAAATTAAAGAGAAAACGCTACCTGAGAGTAAGCCATTTGAGTCACCTTTTGTAAGTCGTCCTGCGCTCCTGTAGTTATCCGACCAAAAAATATTTCCTCTGAAACTCGACCTCCAAGCATCATGCAAATTCTATCAAGAAGTTGTTCCTTTGTGTACAAATACTGTTCCTTAGGTAGATATTGAGCGTAACCTAAGCCCTTTCCACGAGGGATGATGGACACCTAAAAATCTGTATAACTAGTTATGAAAAAGAAGATTAATATATGTAGTTAATGCATATTTATCCTATTAAAGCAATAAAAAGCGATCAAAAGAGGCAAATGGTAAACTAATATAAAAGAATAATAATCCTAAGCGATTAACAAGACCCTCCAACACCAAAATTAACGACAAATAAAATTAAAAATAAATGAACATAAATATACTGTACTTTCAGTAATGGGTCAGCATGTTCCAAAAACCATCCTGTTATTGCGTGACCCGCTTCATGATAAGCTACTGTTTTCTTCTCTTCCGGTTGTAAAACTTGACTCTTCTTCTCCATCCCAGCTACAACTCTTTCAATAGCCTTCAAAAAACACGAGTATTTGACGGCAAAGCGTTATTAAAACAATTTTGACCCAACTGGCCAGAAGAGAAATTAATATAAATCCAAGAATCTCTTTTATATGTTTGATTTAAAAAGTTCAAGAAACAATTTGCCATTATTTAAAATATTTTGATTGTTCAGTTCTCTCCAAAACCAATAACTATTTATCTAATTAGATTGGGAACAGGTAAGCCACAATTCCATAGAAATAAGACCCGGTGAGAAATTTTAGGATTACCTTTTCCCAGCATCTTACCCAGTAACCACTAAATTCTAATACATGTAAACTCAAAAGATTAAGAATAAATTCCAAAAAAATTTGCAAGCTAGAACTTTAACCTGTTCAAAATTCTTCATAGTAATTTCTTCACCACCATCTCGCGCAGCAACAAGAGCTGCCTCATTGCATACGTTTGCAATATCTGCCCCTGCAGAAACGTAACTCAAGTATAATAAAGCGTGAATCGTAAAACTTAAAAACAAAAAATTTGAAGTTAATTTATAAAAAAAGCAAAAGATATAATTTAATTAATGAGCCGACCTGAAAATCCAGGTGTGCGTGCAGACAATTTCCTAGCAAGATCAGTTTTATTCAAACTCGTTTTAAGAGGAGCTAGATGTACTCGAAATATCGACGCTCTGCAAAAAAGCAACTGTCTTCTTCTTCAGAAAAGAACCTCGCCATTTACGTAGAAAAGATCCGGTGCAAGAAGTACCTTCCCTTAATGTCAGGAACTGGGATGTAAATCTGTCGATCAAAGCGGCCTGGTCGAAGTAATGCTGGATCCAATATGTCAACTCTGTTTGTTGCAGCAATTACGATAACAGAGGCCTCATCAGTCGAAAACCCTAAATGATTATAAGGTGTAAATCAAGAAAAACATCCAGCTTTAGAGCGTTCTAAAAAACTGCATAAAGAAAGTGAAATCTCAAAGCATACCATCCATCTCAACAAGAAGCTGGTTGAGAGTATTTTCTTGTTCTGAATGTGATCCACCTAAATTTCTACCTCTTTTTCGTCCAACAGCATCTATTTCGTCTAGAAAGTTATGCAGTATAGAAAAATTGCTAGGTCTATACAACAGATCAAAACGCTGCAAAAAATAAATTCAAAGAACCAGCCTATAAAGAGTATGCACGGTGAATTTTTTCTTGCTTCTGCAAACATATCTCGGACTCTAGCCGGACCAACGCCTACATACATTTCCAAGAATTCAGAACCACTTACAGACAAAAATGGAACATTTGCCTCACCAGCTGTTGCTTTAGCAAGCAGTGTTTTACCAGTACCAGGAGGCCCGGTCAGAAGAGCTCCCTTAAATAATATTTCCATTTTTTTAAAAATAATTGTCTAAATTTTTGCTCTAAAGTAACATACTTTGGGTATCTTCGCTCCTAAACTTTTATACTGCTGCGGATTTTTCAAAAAATTGACAAATTCCATAATTTCAATTTTGGCTTCTTCACACCCAGCAACGTCCTTAAACGCGACCTTTATATCATTTTTATTTATTAAACGAGCTGTGCTTTGTCCCATAGCTCCAAAGAATGGAAATCCACCCAGTTTCCTTCCATCCTTTCCTGAAATTAGATTAACTCTGAATAAGCTCATCACAGTACAGGAGACGTATCTATCAAGCGTTCAACCTAGCAGCTAGATGCAAAATTTAAAGAAGCATTTGCTGATCAGCACCTTTAGGCATGCCTTTGCTTACGGAACGGAAGAAATAAATTACGAACGCCAAAGGAAGCAAATAGCTTAAAGCTTGTGCAATTTTAAGCCTGCAATTAGAGTTTAATTCAGTGTGGCTCCAAAATGATACTCAAAAACGTGGGAAAAAAGTAGCCTTTACTTTTTTAGCAATAAGCTTTCAATTTGATGCCAGAATGATCAGAAATTAAACTCGGTATTTCAAATAACTAGATAATCATAAAAATGCCCAAAATAAAAGACTTCAAAATAGAACAATTGGAATGGAAATAAGGTTAACAAATCTGAAGAAAATAGTCGTCAAAGTGGGATTGAATTAAACTGAAATAAGTATATTTACAAACCAACTAATTTCATTTTTATATATAACTGGGATTTGGTTTTCTGCCGGTATGCCTAAGTGGCTTTGAGCTGCAGCTAAGGAACGTTCAAAACTTTCAACACTTCCAATGTTGAAATATACAGATTCCTAAAACTAAAAACTTTAGAAAAAAACCGCCAAATTGTTTACCTCAAATGTGACAAAAACTGATAGCATATAAACCAAAATTGTTAGAAGAACCAGCAAAAACATATAAAACTGACAAGAAATTCAAAAAAAACTGAATAACTAGTTTTTTTCTGGAAGAAGAAAAACTGCCAAAATGGTAACTTTAACCCACTAAATCAGAAATTTTATATTTCTTGTGCTAAATCTGGTACTAATATAGCAATTTGTTTTGTTAAATATGAAACGAAAGTGAAAAAGGACCTACATGAGCTTCCGAAGCCTTGCAAATTACCCTTACAAAACGCTTATCAACAACTTCCAAACGTTCGACCTTGAAGTAATAAATAATATTATAATTAAGAGGGCAAAACTGACAGTACTGAGAGATCGAAAGAAAAACAGTGATGAGTGAAGAAAAGAATGCAAGGTTGGTAAGTGGACTAAAATATATAAGCAAGAACTATCGTCAGAAAACCTCACCAATCCTCGCTCCAAGTAGTTCGCATAAAACTCTTTCCAGGATATTTCCCTAGCTGTCAGGGAATCGTAAACTAAATACAGAACGAGCAGAACACCGACAGTGAGAAACAGCTGTTGCCAAACTTGCGGTCTAAATAACAAAAATGCATAAAATATTGATATCTGCACAAAAAAATTGAAAAATAAAGCGAATATCGAAAAAAAAAATTAAAAAAAAACTAGAATTTTCAAAAGTCAAAGCTTTCTCAGAAAAGGTTAAAGCATATTCTGGAACAATTAAATAAGCTGTGAAAGAGCGAATCCATTCATATTGTGATTCGAGCGACAGCTCAGCCGATATACTTACGTTATTTCGGGCAATCTACCACCTGAACCTGAGCCTGAAGACGAATTTTTACTGCCGTGATCTTCCTTGTCGGGAGGGCTAATTTTGTTTTCGCCTTCTTTCACATCTAAAAATTGGTAGAAAGAAGTTTATGACGCTGGTAAGTCACTTTGAAAATACTCTCTCGGCTCCAACCTCCAAACAAGAGATTAGCATAAATTTTAAAAAAAGCCATAGTACATTGGAAAGAAAAGGTTACTTCAAAGGCAATATAAACTACGAATCAAGCGGATTAGACAAAGACTAGTTTTAAATATGTAGTACCTTAAGAACAAATACCTTTTGAGTTTTTGCTGCTGGCTTTGTTCAACTCATCTAACAGCTTTTGAAACTCCTTAGGAAAATTGCTGGAGACGAGGAAGCATAACTTTCGAAGAGTGTTTCCAAAAACTTCAGAAGGAGAATGATGACAGTTTAAGAAGCACGAAATTTCTTCGTTTGTGAGATACGGAGTTTTCTAAAACACAGGCGGAAAATTAAGCGGTTCGATACCATATTATTTCTATTCTTATACGCTATATTTCCATTGCTACAGCATTCCGACCTTCTCTTCGTTCTCTAACAGTTACTATTCAAGCTCATCAGTCAGTTAGAAATAACAGTAAAAATTTTACAATAAAGTTTCCAAAATTGACAATAAAATGAAAGATGAGAGCATTAGGCAGAGAGGAAAATGCAACCTGTTTCAACTTATGTGCAGTAGCAGGCCTTAAAAGGTGAAGACACCTTCGCCGTTCTAACCGTGCTCCCAGTTCACGCCATGATATTCCCAATAGTTGCCGTTCGATGCGTAACATCTAAAAGGCGATAACCAAATAAGGCAAAAAAAAAAATTTTTTTTTCATTATATTTTGAAATCAAGCGACACTTAACTTCACAGGATGCCAGTAAAACTTCTTGTCAAACAACGATTTTTTGTTGTAACAAAATTTTTATATTAGCACAAGTATAAACCAGAAGGAGCATAAAAATGTGTGTTTTCTTAGAGGTCTCTCACAGAACAATCCTGCCGTAGGCTGGTTTATCACTGTTGACCCAAATCTGACTTGGTAAGATTCTTTGGACCACCATCAGTTTCACCACATTTTTATCTCGGAAAATCGTTTAGTGGTCTTTGCCACATGCATGGTACATTAAAAACCCTTCTCTTATTACCGAGTCTATCTGGCCTTACCTGTATGAGAACCTCACCGGCAAAAAAAAAGCAAAAACAGACTAAACCAAGTTTGACTTTAACTGAACACCACAGGAATCTTCACGTTTCGGCAAAAGTGGCCTTTTGCCAAACAGACCTTCCGTTTCAACGAAGGCGTTTGGTTCCACTCTGGTATCTCCAGAACATAACCGATTGGCTTAATTTGATACTACTACCTGCGGCACCATTTGGTCGTCAAGATATTACTGCTCTCAAAAGCTCATTAGTTTTCCATGGACCTGATTACTGCAAGCCGTCAGTTTTGATGCCAGTCAAGTGGTTTATGCAGTTTTGTCTTCAAAAAACTTTTGCATAGTCTTTATTGCGATGAAGAAGGCCGGGAGTATTTTCTGTGCCAGTTCTTTGCAGACTATAATTCGACCGAATATATATCTATATATATATATATATAGGCGCCGTCATTTCTAATTTC